GTATTCCCTTCTGGAGTCGAGACCTACGGATAACTACCTGGGAATCGGGACGTCAGACAGCGCACCGCTCAGCTCCATCAAGGGGACAACACTGTCGATCCTTGGCACCACCATAGACATTACCTCTTTCGATGCTCCCGATATGGACGAGCCTCCTCCGGGCACCCCCATCGGGTCGCCCCTGTACAACAAATCGGTCATGGCCTTCTTACAGTCTGTTCTTAATATCAATCCTCATCTCGACAACGTCGATCTGCCCTCTCGATCGGACGCCTTCACATACGCCGAATGGTACTTCCTCATGGTGTCCCCCTTCCTCCCGATCCTCCACAAGCCCTCTTTCCTCCAGCTGGTAAGGCTTCTGACTTGAGGTGCTCTGGCAACTGCTGACACTTCCTAGCTAACGCGCATCTACGATGACAAAACGTTCAAGGCCACGACGGCCGAGCTGGTTATCGTCCACATGGTGTTCGCGACCATTTACTTTCAGTACGGCATCCGTAATCGGGAGGAACCCGAGAAGCACGCGCAGCTCAACGACTTCTCAAACAAGCACTACCACTGGTGCTTGAGCAAGTTCTTCGACTTGGCTATCTCCCAGACCGTAACAGCGGTTCAGGCACTCGCCATGATCGTCTCCCACACGCGCAACTTCCCCAAGCCGGGATGCTCCTCAATAATAGCACACTTTTCCCTCATGAAAGCCATCGAGTTGAACTTTCATCGAGCGATAAAAATGCCCGAGGGCCAGACGACGCTCGACTACGAGATCCGCAAGCGGTCCTGGTGGTCCATATTGGCAGTGATGGTCACGCTGAACGGTCGACTTGGCCGACCCATGCCTATCACATTACAAGAGTTCGATGTTGATTTCCCGATCGCCATCCCCGACGAGTATCTGGGGGAGCAGGGCATCCTGGACCCGTCCAAGGTTGGGCATTGCAACTACCACGTCGGGATCGTGGCGTACAGGTCCGTGCCGCTCTACATTGAGATGTACTCCAGCATTTATGCGGTGCGACGAGACCCGAAGAAATATATCGAAGTGATCCGGGAGCTTGAAGCAGGGATGCGGAATCTGGTGGAGAGTCTTCCCGAGGAGCTGAAGCTCGAAAAATGCAAGCCGAACGATCAGATCTTCGCTCTCTACACCCAGGCTATCATTCTGGAGTACGCATTGTGTCTCAGGCATCCCTCGGCCTCTTTGACAGATGATGCGGCGTTTTGCGCCGAGAACACGAGGGTGTGCGAGGAATCAGCAAAGAAGCTTCTGAAGGTGGTGGGAGCGCTGGTGAAGATGAAATCCCTAGACACGACCTGGTATCAACTGGCGGTCTATATTGCTGCTGTCTTCTCCACGCTCGTCGCCCACTGGGAAAGACGGTTCAACTCTTCACCACAAGAGCTCGTCACGCTCCGGGAGGACATGTCTCTATGGCTCACCGTTATTGTCGAGATCGGGCGCCTCTTAGGTGAGTTGATGCAGCCAAAAAATGATGCCCCTGGTTATTAACATGTGCAGGTTCTGGAACCCGGCTCGCAAACGACGTAGGCAACATCATCGAGCGGACCATCAACTGGATCGAACACGACATGCACCGAAAGACCGGCTCTCCGCCTTCTCAGCCCCTCATAAAGCAGCAGTCAGCCTCACCCTTCCAGCAGCCGCAAGCGGCCAAGCTTGGGCAGGGTCATCAGTCGGCAGCAGCTCCATCTGACGCATCCCACGAGCCGCGCAATGATGCCGGGCCCAACGGTGGCACCTACTACGACGCGACAACCGGGACCTCGACCTCGGCATATCCTCCAACAATCGGGTACCCGGACCAACCAGGCTCAGCAGCCGCTCAACCGAATGGAAACGGCGTCGGGGCGGCCTACAACTCTGCCGATGGTGGACAATATTTGTACGAGCAGGCCCCAGCTGTTTCTTCGGCCTCAGTCCCGAGCGTCAGCCCCGTCGACCAGCCGACACCGTCGCCAAATCCCCTCATTGCGTTTGCATCGCAGGCTACTCAGCATGTAGCAGGGCAGACAGGCGAGGAATGGCGACCACATGCCCAGCTATTGCCACACAACGCCGGCAACACGTGGCAAGAGTGGACGGCTGCCATTGCAGATAGCCAAGACCGGTACAGCGCCAACGCCCTATTGACATTGGGCTCATCCCAAGCAGGCGATCTCGGCGTCAACACACAGCATGTCAACCAGGGAGACGCTCTAGCAGCAGCAAATCCACACGCAGGCCAGTGGCCATTACTGCTGTTCCACAATGGGCCTGCGACATGAAGGGACGCAGACGGCACTCCTGTTGCAGGATTCCCTTATTGTTACATATTCCTCAAAGTATCTATAATCACATGTTGGGGACGTATGTTCAAGGGAGCGACGGAGTTGGGAGCCGGCGGAGAAAACAGTCGATTTCGCGCATCATTTTGCTTCCATTGTTTCATTTCACAGCCGGGCAAACACGGGATACCCAGTTGATACGTATATTATGTTGTTAGGTCCATAATCTGGTCATTGGGGCTCGGCAGGCGAGCCTGGGAACACTGGGCGTATTTATGGGCTAATGTTGGGACGCATGGGACGCCATGTCATCACTCTCGGGCGACAGCCTCGGACGATGGGTGGTTGGGAGGACGGGAGGTACCAGCAACTGCTATATCACACTGCGCATGTAGGATGCATATTAATACCCTCGAATCACCCCCCCTTTCCTGCATGGGCTCACCTGGAAGTTTGCATTTTGGAGGGCTGGTGGAATCCGTTGCAGTGTCTCGTGCAGTCACAAGAGCATCGAGCCATCAAGAAAAGGGGACCCAAGCAGACCGACCCATCGCAACACGATTTAAACTTTCCCCTTCTACTCCCCAAATTCCCATCCCATCTAAAAGTCCAGCTTCAAGACCAATGTCCACACTAGGCAAACGCAGGGAACCCGTCGCGCAACGTCCAGAAGCCGCAACGGTGGGGTCACGTGGACTGTCAACGGGCCAATGGGCCAATGGGAGGCGACGCCGACGTCGTAAGATCTCGGTTACAGATAGTACCTTGCGCGGGGCAGAAGGTGCCAGAATCAGGCCACGGGTGTGTATTCGTGGGCTCATTTCTCGGCGTGCTCGGCAGGAGGGTGTCATTAGGAATAAAGATTGGGGGTTGGTGATTGCGATGAGTGGTCTGAGTTTTCCGCAATTGGTGGGGTATATAGAAGGGGAGATTTCCCGCGAGTTGAGGGATGGCGGTTTTATTGATGAGAAGCAGAAGCATCTTCGGCAACTGGATTGCATTGATTGCCAGTGGACTCAACCTAGAGGCGGGCCTTGAAGAGAGCCCAGCAACAACGAAACTCTGTCGAGGTTTTTTTTTTTTTTGAGGGTCTCGGGAAAGCTTGAAGACACGATGGAGTCCAGGACGAAGATGATGGATGGTGTAAGTCACGCCCTCTGAGTTTTACTAGCGCTTATCAACTTCGCCTCGTCCCTTCTATCTAACCTTCATCATGAACAAACACGCTCCCTTCAAGCTTTGTCCACTCCCCTTCGCCTCTCCTCTTTTCCCTTTTCCTCTCCGTCCCTCTCCCCACTCCGCTCCACAGCGCAACGCACATAACGCAACAACTAACAACTCCCAGTCCTCCACAACCATCACAACCCCAACCAGTATTAAGATTAACACAACCCCCGTCTCCCCTACAAACTCCAACCCACTCTCCCCAGACCGCCTCCTCCGCCTCTACGGCCGCCTCCCCACCACTCCCCCCCGTCGCTTCGCCGCCCATCTCAAATCCGAACGCAAATACTTTGATTCTGGCGACTACGCCATAAGCAAAGCGGGACGAGGCGATGGGGTTAATTTAGGCACTGTGGGGGTTTTGCATCCTACGCCGGAGATGATTCCACATCCGTTGGCGGCGCAGTCAGGGGTTGTGGGGAATGATGGGGAGCAGATGGGAGGAAAGATGCAGAGGAGGAAGAGTAGCTTGGGGAGTTTGGTTTAGGGGTTGATGGGGTGCTATGATGATTTTGATGGGTGACGTACTGGTGTAAGAGTAGGCGTCAAACAGGGGCTGGTCTCGAGTCTGACTTGTTATGTGTTGAACGGTGGAGTTATGGTGTTGGGATTGGGTATCGGCTGGTATTTTGAACATTACAGGAGATTGGAGTCTTCCAGTCCTAGGATAAGAACTCGAACTTGGTCAGGAGTGCGATGGTGTCTTTAGTTCCTACAGCTTGCATGAATAGTCCGCGAGAGTGTGAAGTATTTTGCGTGTTGAATCAAAGGCCTTTCTGATATGGATGGTTGATATTCCCAAGTATTTGGTTAAATCACAATGCGTTTGTCCTCAATTTCGCGGCTGCTAGGAAGCTTTCTTTCTGACTCGTGGTCACAATAGTATTATGGATCGACGGAGATGCCGTCACGATCATCACCGGCATATATCCTATGATGAAAATGATTTGACAGAGCAGAATGCGGAAAAGGACGCGCCCCTTGTTGTAATTCATCTCTCTTCGTCTTCCCTCTCAGCAGCTGTGCTCGTATCGATGAGCCATGACCTTCCCGCTCGACTGTTCAAGGAAAGTCTTTTCACCCCTGAATATGAGCCCGGGGATTCGATATCAGTACCGTGCCGGTCCAAGAGTAACTGGATCGTTGAGGTGCAGATTGCTGCATCTCGTCAAACTCGGCGTTACATACGATGCTCAATGTCCCGGGGAACTAATCTGATCGTCCGCCGCTCTCAACTTTGTGTTCAGCCAGGAGGGCTGGAGCCAAGTTCACCTGAACAGGGGTTGCCGAAGATGCAGGCGGCAGGAGCGGGACTTGGTGTTTGCTGACACGCAGCATTCAGTACTAAGGTACTTTCGCTTCCTCCATGTCTCAATGGCAACCGTCAAGTTTTTGGGCTGAACCGTGACGTGCTCGTTGGTCTAAGGGTACGGAAACTTCTGTTGCACGTTCAGAACACCAAATTGTGACACTATCTACCATCCAAAGGCGAGATGGCCGAGCGGTCTAAGGCGCTACGTTAAGGAGATCCTTAATAACATCATGGCATCATGATCCCGTAGTCCGAAAGGGCGTGGGTTCCAATCCCACTCTCGTCAAAAGCTTCCTTCTTGACCCCTGACCCCTCCGGGGGAGTCGATGTTTTGACTTTTTGCATGGTGTTGTGTTGTGGAGAATACCCGCAGGGGAGTGTGGAACGTGAGGGAGGGATAAGGCAAACGTCAACATATTTGGGGGTGGGATCAGGACCGGGTCTGCAATCCTTCAATCCACATGGGCCGCAAAATATCGTCGGCTTCATCCGAGGCACGTTCTGCTGTCGTGAGACCATCAATGGCTGACAAGACCCAGCGGTGTGAAAGCTCATTCCTTAGCTCCTGTTCTCCGCAAAAAAAACAAGCGAACGAACATGGGACGGCGTCCCCGACTAACACGGGTGACGGCGCTTACGCACGTTCTGGCGTCCCCACCGGAAAAAGGGTCCCCGGCATTTTGGATTTGGCAGTCCAGCACGTGCGCGCAACCAACACAAATGCCAACCCTACAGGCTGGTCTCGATTCGAATCCTCACTACCAACCACGGAGCGTCGTCAGTCGAGCTGAGTGCCCACATCCCGCGACAAGGCTTGACAAGGCTGCCTTCGGGAGCGCCTTGAGTGAGATCCCGGTCGTGTTTGCTAAGAGAAACCGTCCTGGCTCTCTGGAAGATGGACTAGAAGGGGAAAGGAACGGTCATGTGGATCTGAGATGAACCAAAAGAAATCCCCGCGTCACGCCAGCTGAGATGCTGCCACCGGCCGGGGTCCCAAAAGCGACGGCGTCCACGGCTTGCGTTCCTTCGCGCAGATGGTGGAGGAGATCTGGGCATCTGGCATAAGTGGGTGCAAGAGGCAGCAGTGGGTGTTTCGGATGCGGGCAGAAAGTGGATTGCATCTTGCATTCTTCTTTTGTGCTTCCAGAAGAATGTGAAGGTGTCTCTCTGTTGCAGGGAGATCGCCGGTGCAGGTCTCGCCCTCGCCACTGGGATGGTCTCCTGCTGTGCAACACTTGTTTCCCATGTTAGGTACTCGAAGGGAGACACTGCTCTGGGCTCGAGGACATGGAAGAGCTCGTGCCTCCGCAGCAAATGCCCTTGTCGTAATGTCCAGTCATCCTCTTTGTCCCACGGACTTGAGGCGACCACAACCCTCAGACGCGGGACTTCGATAGCTCAACCAGCCACCGAAGATCCCAAGGAGCCCGGCCATCCGTGGGCATCAGCTGGGCAAGCCAAAGACCTTTCTGGCCCGACAGGGGGCTGGAAAAGACGGCAACGCGCCAAGGTATTGGGACTCGGATCTGCAGAACATAATGCGTTTAATATGCGCGACCACGGCCGCGGAACGAGTGGTGTTGCGGTTTGTGCTGCGAGGTGGGTGCTCTAGTGGATGGTGCAGCCTGGCGGGTGGCCGTGGCGGCGTGATAGGACACAGAAAGGGATGGGATTTACCCTACTGCGTAGGAGTTGTTTGATTTTTTGGGTCGCCACGGCTTGGGCAGTCTTGAGTTGGACAGTCGCACGAGGGTGGGGGTGAGTCGAGGTTACCTGACCGTCGGGAGAGCCTTGTCCACCACGTAGCAGTCTAATTTGTCGGTTGGAGGGAGCTTGTTTCGGCCGTTGAAAAGACCTGCTGCAGCGATTTCTTGCGTCGATGAGACTGATTTTGCTTTTGCAGGGCTGACTGCGTCCAGATCTGATTCTGATTCCAGATCCGGAGCCCGCCTGGAACGTCCGCTGCAAGGAAGATTCCATCATCTCAACATCGACAAGGAGAAGCGGCCGCCTTCGCGACGAGAAAGACCTGAGGTGTTGGAGGATGCCGACGGGGGTCGGTGTGGTCGGGCCATCTGCAAACGGCTGAGACCTGCAGCGCATCCCGCAGAGGCGGCTGCTGGATCGGGGAATATCTCCACGCACGTGCGATGCCAGGGAGGCTTGGCATTACCTCGCCGACAGCTCTTGGCAAGAACGTGCCGGCGCGTTGGAGTTGCACCCTGGTCTTTTCGCTAGCGCTGTCCGATAAGCATTCCCCAGAGATAGCTTATTCGCACAGCACGTCGACCTCGCCAAAATTCGCAACTCTGACGAGAAACTCCGCAAAAAGAGGCCGTCTCCTCAACGCCATGGTGTGCGCTCCTCGCGCAATCCACTTCTTTGCAGGGAAATAATAGATCCCGCCCGATGGATGGAACATTCTCCCGAGAACACAAAAGGCTAGAGGAGACAATCTTCGGGACGGGACCCCGCTTACTCACGAGAACGACACATCCCCTCACTCAGCTCTCTGCGGGGCAATGGCAGTTTGATGGCGCTATGGGCGCACCCCTTCGAATCCCATCTGCAGCCAAGGCCAGGCCCTGGCAGAGCTCGTTGGGGAGCTGTTTCCCTTGTCGGGAAACCCGCGCTCGTTTCTATTGGTCCGCCCGGTAAACAAAGTACCTCTCGCCGTCGAAGTTCGCACCAAGAGACCCCCAAATGACGACATTCGAGGCTGGTCACTCATCTTTGGGGGGATGGGTTGGTGGCGGCGACTGAGCACCCCGTTCCTCTGCGCCAAGAGCCTTTCCAGGGTCGACCCTGGCGGAGCCGCTGCAGGCCAAGAACCACTCCCGACGACCAGCTCCGATTGCGTGCTCACTTTGGCCTTTGTCGCCATCCCCCACCAGCTCCAGCTCACCCAGCCAGTCCCGGTCAAGTCGCCCGCGGAGCGAGAATCCAAGCTGCCAGGACGCGCCCAGGAATGCCCAGGACGCCTCTTCGACGGGGGAGGCACGCCTGGCCTGTCTTTGGACGAGGGCGGCAGTCTTGGGAGAACAAAGCTGAGCGAGGGTTTGCTGCCCAGGCAACTTGGCGGTTTCTGGGCATGGCCAGCGAGGTAGTTATAAGGGCGGACCAGCAGCCGGGCACTTTTTAATATCGTCAGACAGCCTCTCTGTGCGGAAAGCTTCTTTGCAGCTCCAGGAGAAGACTCAACTGTCCTCATTTGAGCTCCGCACACACGGCATCTCCATCCTGCGCAGTACCGTGTGAGAACACATTGCCGCCAACATGGGTTTCCTCTCGAAGCTCGACGTCCCCGACGACTCAAACAGGTTCACCCCGCTCTCGGAAGATGAGCAGGCCCTGGCCCTGGAGAAGGATTGGACGCCCGAGGAAGAGCTCAAGGCAAAGCGCAAGTAAGTTGCACCTATCGGCAGTCTTGGCGACCCGCCTTTCCCCCCTCCACAACGCTCCGCGGGGCATCTCCGGCTAACACGGCATGTTACTTCCAGGCTTGATCGTATCATTATGCCCCTGCTCACCATGGGCTTCTTCTGCCTCCAACTCGATCGCGGCAACATCTCGAATGCCATCACCGACAAGTTTATGGAAGAGGTCGGCGTCACTCAGAATGAGTTCAACGTCGGCCAACAGATGCTCTCGCTGGGCATCGTGCTCTTCGAGATCCCCTCCAACATGATCCTCTACCGCGTCGGCCCTGGCAAGTGGCTCACCCTCCAGCTCTTCCTCTTCGGCACCGTCTCGACCTTCCAGGCTTTCCAGAACAACTACGGATCCTTCATCGCCACTCGCTTCCTGCTCGGTATCACAGAGTCCGGCTTCATTCCCGGCGGTCTGTGGACCCTCTCGACCTGGTACACTCGTCGTGAGTCGGCCAAGCGTATCATGTTCTTCTACTTCGGCAACCAGTTCGGCCAGGCCTCGTCCAAACTCCTCGCCTACGGTATCTTGCACATGCGCGGCGTCGGCGGCAAGTCGGGTTGGTTCTGGCTCTTCGCTCTCATGGGTGGCTTCACCATCGTCTGCGGCTTCATCCTCGGTTTCTGCCTACCCGACAGCTTCAAGAACCCTTGCTCAACCTTCCTGCCCGGCATCTCGTGGTTTACCGAGCGCGAGCTGCACATTCTGCGCACCCGTGTGCTGATGGATGACCCCATGAAGGGCAAGAAGAAGAAGAAGATCAATATTGGTGCCTTCAAGAAGGCCTTCAGCAACTGGAGGCTGTGGGTGCACACCTTCATCTCGCTCTGCAACAACGGCCCTCAGAGAGCTTTCGACACCTATGCCCCCAGCATTGTCACCAGCTTCGGTTTCGGCCCGCTCAACTCTAACGCCTTGGCTGCCGTTGGTTTGTTCCTTCAGATTCCCACCTCTTGGCTTTTCAGCTGGTTCTCTGATCACTAGTGAGTCTCCGCTCCATCTCCAACCTGTCGAAGAGAAGTTGCTAATAGAGCGTAGTAACCGCCGTGGTGAGGCTGTCCTGGCTGGTTTGACTTGCCACTTGATCGGTTATATCTTCAACCGCTCCTTCACCGAGCTCACTCACCTCCGCGGCGTTCGATACTTCGGCGTCGTCTGGACTCAAACATTCGGCACTTTCTCCCACCCGCTCAACATCGCCTGGATGTCACTCACTTGCCCCGACTCCGAGGTTCGCGCCTTGGCCATGGCTATGTAAGCATACCGTCCTCTCAATCTACCAATTCGTACTAACACTACATAGGATAATCATGGGCGCCAACATCGCTGGTATTTATGGCGCGCAGATCTTCCGATCTGAAGATCGCCCGCTCTACAAGCGTGGCTTTGCCATCAACCTCGCTGTCATCTCCACCGCTATTACCCTTGTCCTCGTCCGCTACGTCGATGACATCATTCGCCGGAGGAAGGTCAGGGGCCAGCTTGCAGAAGTCGTACCAGAGTCGGGCAGTGATGAGGCAAACGAGAAGGGTCTTAAGGAGAAGGGCCAATACCCCGATGAGAAGCAGCAGCCCATTGCTGTATAGGGGATAGGAAATCGATGGGGGATTGAGACATTTGGATAGGTTTTTTAGATCAAATACCACCGTCTGTTCAGCGCTGCAATCAGGTCAACTGCCAGGGAAGATGTGTGCATAATGCAGAGCTGTAGTGTTAGCTTGTGACCTTGGTATCTGCACTGGGCCCTGTCCTCTAGGCATTCACGACTGGTATCATGACCTCTCGTTCAACCAGCTGCAGCATGAAGACACCAACTCGTAGTCCTCACCGCGACATGATCATCACGATGCTGTCAAA